AGGAGGGGGTTGGACTAGATGACCTTTTGGGGTTCCCTTCTGGCTGAATGCAATATTATGACGGCCTAATTCTCCTCCTGTGTGGCTTTGGAGACCCAATTCTTGAGCCGCAAATGCTCCACAACGTGCAGACTTGTCTGAGCCCTGGCCAGACCTTCTGTCTGCGGACCGGTCACTTGGGCTGAGAGGGGCTCCCAGGGGTCCCATGGCTGGGGGCGGAAGGTGCGGAGGAGCCTCTGTGCGCGTGTGGCGCCCCACGTCCGCCATGCGCTGGAAGGGATGCACCTTCCGCCCAAGGGTCACCTCTGGCCGCAGGAAGTTGCATAACAATGGCCGTGCAAGGAAAGACCAGACAGGGTGGCTGCGCTCGGGTTGGCCATGCGCAGGAGTGTGCAAAGGAGTGTGGAAGAGCCCTTTTCCTGCCGGGACGCAATGTGTGGATGGATGCAATCCATTGCAAACAACACACTTGACCCCGTGAATCATATCGATCATCTGGGGTGTGCATCAAGAGCGGAGCACGCGCATAACTTGGCAAGCCGCAGCGATGTCCTTCCACGATTGCGAAATGCAAAGCCTTGATTGTTGTGGTTTCACTTTGTGCCCCCAAAGTTAGTATGGAAGCTCTATCGATCGGGATGACTCCCAGGAATCCACCGCACCGAGACATTAAAGTGGTCTCAAACTGCATTCGTTGGTCAATGCGGCCTTAGAGGGAAGCGATGGCACACTTTTGGAAGGTCTCTCTTGTCGGAAAAGGCTGGGGAAGGACACTGTCTCAGCCTTTGGTGGCGCACCAGCTGACCCTTTGAAGTGTGCAAGGGCCACACCGGATATTTTCCCCAATGCCTGTGAAACCCAAACTCTGCAGAGTCCCTTTCCTTGGTGGTCACTCCCTGAGACTGGTCAGTGCCAGCCCCTGGCTTTCCAGTCCAAGCCAATCTTGGCAGCACCCAGGGTTGTGTCCGGAACACACAGCACCGGATGCGGAGCCAAACCTTGGCTGGTATTGACCCTTCGATAAGGCAGAGAGGGTCAAAGGACACGAGAGTTGGGGAGGGAGGGAAGGAGGGAGACGCTTCCGCCAACATCCCAAATAGGAAAGAACCACAAAGCCATAGATGCACAGAATTGGAACATGCTTTGTCTCCTTGCTTAATTTTGGATGAGAGGCCCACCCCAAGCACTCAGTGCGAATCTGGGGAGGGACTGGGAGTTCTGCCATGTTGACTGCCGGAAAGGGGAGGGTGCAAGGAGGCACCTCTCCAGTGGCAACGTCCCAACCCTTCCTGGGTCCCACATCAATCGATGGCAGAAGCAAAGGCATCCTTCCCCTGCAGCATTTGGCAAAGGGAATGAGGTCAGATCTGGCCCATCTATATGACCTCTGGAGACCCCTTTGCTAAGGTTTCACAGCTTGGTGGGCATCCTTCCCCTGTTTGTTGTTGTTGTTCATTCATTCAGTCATCTCTGACTCTTCGTGACCTCATGGACCAGCCCACGCCAGAGCTCCCTGTCGGCCGTCACCACCCCCAGCTCCTTCAAGGTCAGTCCAGTCACTTCAAGGATGCCATCCATCCACCTTGCCCTTGGTCGGCCCCTCTTCCTTTTGCCTTCCACTTTCCCCAGCATAATTGTCTTCTCTAGGCTTTCCTGTCTCCTCATGATGTGGCCAAAGTACTTCAACTTTGTCTCTAGTCTCCTTCCCTCCAGTGAGCAGCCGGGCTTTATTTCCTGGAGGATGGACTGGTTGGATCTTCTCGCAGTCCAAGGCACTCTCAGCACTTTCCTCCAACACCACAGCTCAAAAGCCTCTCTCTTCCTTCGCTCAGCCTTCCCTAAGGTCCAGCTCTCACATCCGTAGGTGACTACAGGGAAGACCATGGCTTTGACTAGGCAAGATCTTTGTTGCCAGTCTGATGTCTCTACTCTTGACTATTTCATCAAGACTGGACATTGTTCTCCTCCCAAGAAGGAAGCGTCTTCTGATTTCCTGGCCACAGTCTGCATCTGCAGTCATCTTTGCACCTAGAAATACAAAGTCTGTCACGGCCTCCACGTTTTCTCCCTCTATTTTCCAGTTGTCAATCATTCTTGTTGCCATAATCTTGGTTTTTTTGATGTTTAGCTGCAACCCAGCTTTTGCGCTTTCTTCTTTCACCTTGATTAGAAGGCTCCTCAGCTCCTCCTCGCTTTCGGCCATCAGAGTGGTGTCATCTGCATATCTGAGGTTGTTAATGTTTCTTCCAGAAATTTTCACCCCAGCCTTGCATTCATCAAGCCCCGCACATCCTCGCATGATGTGTTCTGCATACAAGTTAAAAAGGTTGGGTGAGAGGATGCAGCCTTGCCGTACGCCTTTCCCAATCTGGAACCCGTCTCCTGTTCCGTGGTCAGTTCTGACTGTTGCTCCTTGGTCCTTGTACAGATTCCTCAGGAGAGAGGGAAGGGGGCTTGGGATGCCCATCCCACCAAGAACTTGCCACCATTTATGATGATCCACACAGTCAAAGGCTTTTGAATAGTCAATGAAACAGAAATAGATGTTTTTCTGAAACTCCCTGCCTTTCTCCATTATCCTTCCCCTGTAGTGTTTGGCAAAGGGAATGAGATCAGATCTGGCCCATCTATATGACCTCTGAAGACCCCTTTGCTAAGGTTTCACAGCTTGGTGGGCATCCTTCCCCTGCAGCATTTGGCAAGGGGAATGAGGTCAGATCTTGCCCGTCTATATGACCTCTGGAGACCCCTTTGTCAAGGTTTCACAGCTTGGTGGGCATCCTTCCCCTGCAGCATTGTGGGGTCTCCAGAGGTAAGATCTGGCCTGTCTATATGACCTCTGGAGATCCCACAAATGTCAGTATTCATCATTTGAAGGGTGGGCACTGGATGGGACACAAAGGGACCAAAGCATCATTCCTTTGCAGCATTTGGGCAAAAGGCTCCAAGCTCAGATCTGACCTGTCTATATGACCTTTGGAGACCCCATGAATGTCAGAATTCATCCTTTAAAGGGGGGTGGCAGCATTGGATAGGCGACAAAGGGATTGAGGCATCTTTCCTTGCAGCATTTAGGCAAAGGGTCCAAGCTCAGTTCAGGTCCCTCTATATGACCTCTGGAGACCCCATGCATGTCGGAATTTATCCTTTAAAGCGGGGGTGGGCATTGAATAGGGCACAAAGGAATTGAGGCATCTTTCCTTGCAGCATTCAGGCAAAAGGGTCCAAGATCAGATCTGGTCCATCTATATGACCTCTCAAGACCCCATGAATGTCAGAATTGATCATTTAAAGGGTGGGCATTGGATAGGGCAGTGGATTAAAGCGGTGAGCTGCTGAACTTGCTGACCAAAAGGTTGCAGGTTTGAATCCGGGGAGTAGGGTGAGCTCCCGCTGTTAGCCCCAGCTTCTGCCCACCTAGCAGTTCGAAAATATGCAAATGTGAGTAGATCAATAGGTACCGCTTTGGTGGGAAAGTAATGGCGTTCCATGCAGTCCTGCCAGTGGCCACATGACCTTGGAGGTGTCTACGGACAACGCCGGTTCTTCAGCTGAGAAATAGAGATGGGCTCCAACCCCCAGATTCGGACACGACTGGACTTAATGTCAAGGGGAAAACCTTTACCTTACCTATTGGATGGGGCACGAAGGGACCGAGGCATCTTTCCTTGTAGCATTTGGCAAAAGGTTCCAAACTCAGATCAGGTCTGTCTAGATGACCTCTGAAGACCCCACAAATGTCAGAATTCATCAGTGTTGGTTGGACCCCCATTAAACTAAATTCGGTGGCTGCAAAGAGAGCCAAACACAATTGATTAAGTGGTTCCAGATGTGACTGGAAATGGTGATTTATAGTTCTGACCGAAAGGCACCCGTCCAAAGGGCCACCTGGGGCCACAGGAGGGGACAACCAAATTGTGAGAATTTGCCGGTCATCCCCCACCCCCTCTTGGTGTGATGTCCATTCCAGGTGGCTTTGCTGTGGCCAAACCCAGAGGAAGTGACCGTTCCTCCCCAGAGCCCCCTTTTGGCCGCAATGACCGGTGTCCGCACTCTCTGCCTTTGGCCGGCTGCCAGGAGGCTGACCTTTCCCACCTTCGCGCCTGGACCTGTGGCTGGCTGGACCCCGGCCAGAGAGCGCCGACGTGCCTCCTGTGGCATGGGCCACTCACTTGCAGGCGCTGGGGCTTGATCCGGCGCAGGTTTCATCACCATCAATATTATGATTTTGGTGATGATGATGAGGAGGGTTGCCATGCCCACCGGCTCAAGCCTGGAGTTTCCGGCCTGGAGAGAATAACTGTCCCTCTGGCTGAGGTCCGGCCCAGAGCCATTCCTCTGCAGGGAAGGGGCGGCCGGAGTCAGTCCTCTTTGGACCGCTGCAAAAGGACACCGGGTGAAACATTAACCGCCTCTCGTGCCGCTACGCAGCTCCTGGGGTCTGCCGTGGAAAGACCAGGGGGTCGCCACAGAAGGAAAATATCACGGATATGCTGGGATCCCAAACTGGTGGCTGAGGGGCGAGACTGGTTTGGAGCGGCCTGCAATCCAAAGAGGATATCTGAGCCCAGAAGACTCACCTGGACATCTTCAGTCTCACCTAGCCGCCAGAGGAGAGCTGCCTTTGGCCAGAGCGCTGGACGTCCGAGTGGCTCCTCGGAAGACTCACCTGGAGGCGTGGACTGTGGCTGAGGACACCTGGAGACTGACCTCTGACCTCTTCACCTGGACTTTGAGTGGCCTGGAGAGAGGAACGCTCCCAAAGAAGAGGGACATCTCAACTGCCGGACGATTCCGTGGCCGAAGGCACCTGGAGACATGTTGCTAAGATTCTGAGAAATCCCTCGAGAGCACCGACCAGCCCTTTGGCTCCTTTTGGCCAGACCGCTGGACCTTTCCATAGCCGCTCCATGGACTCACCTGGAAGCCTGCATCGTGGTTGAGGGTCCCAATGGACTTGGAGTGACTCCGAAGGCAGCCCCCCGACTCCTTTTGGACCTGCAGCAGTGGAAGCCCATGGCTAGCCATGGGGCAGGAGGGGTCCGCTAGGCGCTAAGGCCATGCGCTTTCGGCTATGGGGATACCTGGTGAGTCGCTGTCTCGGCCAAGGGGCAGCTCCAGCAACCATCGATCGATCCATACATCCAACGGGGTTGGGTTGGGTTGGGTGGCCGCCAAGGGGATTGGCAAGCTGGGCTCCGGCAGGGAGCCAAGGGGGGCACAGGGCACCGGAGCCAGCTTTCTATGTTCTCCGTGTTCTCTGTTGTTGTATGTTCTCACCTTGGCTCCGGAGGGCAGAGAAAGGGGTCTTGGATCTGGTCCGGAGAACTGGCCATTGAATCAAGGCATAGACCAAGCCCCAGCTTACTTCCGACTCTAGGATTCTGTGATGGTCATCTGTCGGGAGGGATTTGATGGTGCCTTCCTTTACAGCAGAAGGGGGTTGGACTAGATGACCTTTGGGAGTCTCTCCCAACCCTAGGGTTCTATGACTCAGAGGCTGGATAGACATCTGTCAGGAGGGATTAGATGGTGGCTTCCTTTACTGACGAATTAAGTTTGACTAGATGACCTTTGGGAGTCTCTCCCAACTTCCAGCAAGATTCAGAGGCTGGATGGCCATCTGTTGGGAGGGATTAGATGACGCTTTCCTTTACAGCAGACGGGGTTCGACTAGATAACCTTTGGATGTCTCTCCCAAATCTAAGATTCTGTGATTCAGAGGTTTGATGGCCATCTGTTGGGAGGGGTTCAATGATGCCTTCCTTTATTGCAGAATGGGATTCATTCTGGATGTCTCTCCCAAATCTAAGATTCTGTGATTCAGAGGTTTGATGGCCATCTGTTGGGAGGGATTCAATGGTGCCTTCCTTTATTGCAGAATGGGATTCATTCTGGATGTCTCTCCCAAATCTAAGATTCTGTGATTCAGAGGTTTGATGGCCATCTGTTAGGAGGGATTCAATGGTGCCTTCCTTTATTGCAGAATGGGGTTGGAGTGGATGGACTTGGGGTCTCTTCCAACTCTAGCATTGGATTATTCAGAGGCTGGATGGCCATCTGTCAGGAGGTATTAGATGGTGTCCTCCTTGACGGTCGAAGGGGGTTCGACTAGATGACCTTTGGGAGTCTCTTCCAACTCTAGCATTCGATGATTCAGAGGCTGGATAGCCATCTGTTAGGAGAGATTAGATGGTGTTTCCCTCTACAGCAGAAGGGGTTTGACTACAGTCTCTCCAAGCTCTAAGATTCTGTCATTCAGAGGCTGGTTGGCCATCTGTTGGGAGGGATTCAATGGTGTCTTCCTTCATGGCAGAAGGGGATTGGACAGGATCGCCCACAGTGTCTCTTCAGTCGACTCTCTAGCATTCAATTATTCAGTCTGGATGGCCATCTGTCAGGAGGGATTAGATGGTGTCTTCCTTTATGGCAGAAGGGGTTCAACTAGATGACCTTTGGGAGACTCTCCCAACTCTAAGATTGTACAATTCAGAGGCTGGATGGCCATCTGTCAGGAGAGGTTCAATGGTGTCTTCCTTTTCGGCAGAAGGGGGTTGGACTGGAGGGGCCTTGGGGTCTCTCCCAACTCTAACATTCGATGATTTAGGGGGTGGGTGGCCATCTGTCAGGAGATATTAGATGGTGTTGGACTGGGTGGACCTTGGGTTCTCTTCCAACTCAAGCATTTGATGATTCAGAGGCTGGGTGGCCATCTTTCAGGAGGGATTAGATGGTGTTGGACTGGGTGGACCTTGGGTTCTCTTCCAACTCAAGCATTCGATGATTTAGAGGGTAGATTGCCATCTGTCAGGAGATATTAGATGATGTTGGACTGAGTGGACCTTGGGTTCTCTTCCAACTCAAGCATTTGATGATTCAGAGGCTGGGTGGCCATCTTTCAGGAGGGATTAGATGGTGTTGGACTGGAGGGACCTAGGGTTCTCTCCCAACTCTAGCATTCTATGATTTAGAGGGTGGATGGCCATCTGTCACGAGATATTAGATGGTGTTGGACTGGAGGGACCTTGGGTTATCTCCCAACTCTAGCATTCAATGATTTAGAGGGTGGATGGCCATCTGTCAGGAGATATTAGATGGTGTTGGACTGGAGGGACCTTGGGTTATCTCCGAACTCTAGCATTCGATGATTTAGAGGGTGGATGGCTATCTGTCAGGAGATATTAGATGGTGTTGGACTGGAGGGACCTTGGGTTATCTCCCAACTCTAGCATTCGATGATTTAGAGGGTGGATGGCCATCTGTCAGGAGATATTAGATGGTGTTGGACTGGAGGGACCTTGGGTTATCTCCCAACTCTAGCATTCAATGATTTAGAGGGTGGATGGCCATCTGTCAGGAGATATTAGATGGTGTTGGACTGGAGGGACCTTGGGTTATCTCCGAACTCTAGCATTCGATGATTTAGAGGGTGGATGGCTATCTGTCAGGAGATATTAGATGGTGTTGGACTGGAGGGACCTTGGGTTATCTCCCAACTCTAGCATTCGATGATTTAGAGGGTGGATGGCCATCTGTCAGGAGATATTAGATGGTGTTGGACTGGGTGGACCTTGGGTTCTCTTCCAACTCAAGCATTCGATGATTTAGAGGGTAGATTACCATCTTTCAGGAGGGATTAGATGGTGTTGGACTGGGTGGACCTTGGGTTCTCTTCCAACTCAAGCATTCGATGATTTAGAGGGTAGATTGCCATCTGTCAGGAGATATTAGATGATGTTGGACTGAGTGGACCTTGGGTTCTCTTCCAACTCAAGCATTTGATGATTCAGAGGCTGGGTGGCCATCTTTCAGGAGGGATTAGATGGTGTTGGACTGGGTGGACCTTGGGTTCTCTTCCAACTCAAGCATTCGATGATTTAGAGGGTAGATTGCCATCTGTCAGGAGATATTAGATGATGTTGGACTGAGTGGACCTTGGGTTCTCTTCCAACTCAAGCATTTGATGATTCAGAGGCTGGGTGGCCATCTTTCAGGAGGGATTAGATGGTGTTGGACTGGATGGACCTTGGGGTCTCTTCCAAATCTAGGATTCTGTGATTCTATGCAGTCCCCCAAAATCTCCATTCTCAATCTAGGAAAGAAGAAGGATTGTGGCAAGGACTGGAAATAGTCACTGTGTTCAGACTACAGCTCCCAGAATCCCCAGGCCAAATGTGAGAGTTGTTGGGGAAAGAAATTGGGACTTTGTCAATTTATATAAGACCAAGAGTCTTATATACAAGACATCTCATTACAGACGTTGATGCGAATCCAAAACATTTTGGATAAGGCTGACCCAGTCCTCCCAGGGTTGGGGATGCTGGGTGGTGTAGTCTCAAAGCAAACGTTGTTTCCCAGGCTGTCCGGCCTGTTTTTGCCCTTCAAGGGCCTGGAGAGAAACTTGGTGAGTTAAAGTGTGAAGGACTGGAGATAGCGATAAGCCTCCTTGTCAACACCAGAGGCTCATGCGAAAGCAGCCGGGATGGAATTTGGAACGGCATCCCTCTGCGCCAAAGGAAAACATTTGAATGGAAGCAGGAGATCCAACCGAGCAAGGAAGCCACCCCCAAAGTCCTCTCTGGAGCCTTGGAGACTGTACCCAAGTGACACGTTTGCATATCCACACTTGGGCCCTCCCTCCAGGTGTTTTGGACTCCAACTCCCACCATTTCTAACACAGAATCATAGAATCAAAGAGTTGGAAGAGACCTCATGGGCCATCCAGTCCAACCCATTCTGCCAAGAAGCAGGAATATTGCATTCAAAGCACCCCTGACAGATGGCCATCCAGCCTCTGTTTAAAAGCTTCCAAAGAAGGAGCCTCCACCACACTCCGGGGCAGAGAGTTCCACTGTTGAACAGCTCTCACAGTCAGGAAGTTCTTCCTCATGTTCAGATGGAATCTCCTCTCTTGTAGTTTGAAGCCATTGTTCCGCGTCCTAGTCTCCAGGGCAGCAGAAAACAAGCTTGCTCCCTCCTCCCTGTGGCTTCCTCTCACATATTTATACATGGCTATCATATCCCCTCTCAGCCTTCTCTTCTTCAGGCTAAACATGCCCAGCTCCTTAAGCCGCTCCTCATAGGGCTTGTTCTCCAGACCTTTTATCATTTTAGTCGCTCTCCTCTGGACACATTCCAGCTTGTCAATATCTCTCTTGAATTGTGGTGCCCAGAATTGGACACAATAACAGCCTCAGGCCCCTTCCTTTTCCTTTTCCCTTTCCTTTTCTGCATAAGCAGCTGAGGGGGAAAAAGACGGGTCCCAAGGCTGTTAGGACTGGTGGGAGTTGGAGTCCAAAACACCTGGAAGGAGGGCCCAAGTTGGCCCATGCTTGAGCTACAGTGTCTTTAACTGGGCACTTGAAGTGCTGTCAAAGTGCATTAATTGTACAGTGGAGATGCACTTAAGGCACATGGAACCCTAAAGATCACCCAGTCCACCCCTTTGGTTTCCCAAGAGGCTGAGAGAATATGTCCCAATGCAAACTATGTCTTCCTCTTCCAGGGCTGACTCTTTTCCTGCTGATGTTGGGATTCCCGGCTCCGTCCCTCCTCCTGCCTCCGAGGCCCATCTGCGACCAGAGCGTCATGGACAAGTACATCCAAGATGCCGGGCGGGCGGAAAGAGAAGTCGTACGTTGATCTCCCCTTTGATCTCCTTTATGTCCTCTTACACTTTCTTCCCTTCCTTCCTATTGATTGTCAATGAGCAAACCATCGTTCCTAATAGTACACTGCCAGTCCTAGATCTTGAGCCTTGAAGGATTGGGATGTCTAGACAAAGAGGAATAACAACAACAACAACAACGCTATGTAACGCAATTATTGTTCCTGGGTTATAATTGGTTATATCATAACAACATGGGAAACGTTTATTGAACTGCTCAAACTTTGTTTGGGAGAGTTTTGCTATTGCACATTTTGCTATAGTTTTCCAATGAATATCTCATTATCGGCTCATTTTTTAACTCTTCATTTTAACTCTTTGTTTGTTTTTGCATTATTTCTATTTTGTCATTGTATACTGTGAGGAAGCCCAGTAATAATCAATATCAACTTAGGAGCTGTTTTACAAAGGGACCACTAATTAAAAAGGGTTTACTTATTTGATAGCGTAGCGTCTAATGTCCCTAATTTGGTCTTAGTTCTTATGCAGGGCTGTTTGACTTAGAACAGTGTTTCTCAACCTAGGGGTCGGGACCCCTGAGGGGGTCACGAGGGGGTGTCAGAGGGGTCGCCAAAGACCATAAGAAAACACAGTATTTTCTGATGGCCATGGGGATTCCATGTGGGAAGTTTGAGCCAATTCTGTCGTTGGTGGAGTTCAGAATGTTCTTTGATTGTAATGAACTATAAATCCCAGCAACTACAACTCCCAAATGTCAAGATCTATTTTCCCCAGACTCCACCAGTCTTCACATTTGGGCATACAGAGTATTTGTGCCAAGTTTGGTCCAGATCCACCATTGCATGAGCCCACAGTGCTCTCTGGATATAGGTGAACTACAACTCCCAAACTCAAGGTCAATGCCCATCAAACCCTTCCAGTGTTTTCCATTGGTCATGGGAGCCAAGTTTGGTTCAAATCCATCGCTGGTGGAGTTCAGAATGCTCTTTGAATATAAGTGAACTATAAATCCCAGCAACTACAACTCCCAAATTACAAAATCAATCCTCCCGCAGCCCCACTAGCATTCACATTTGGGTGTATTGGGTATTTGTGCCCAGTTTGGTCCAGTAAATGAAAATGCATCCTGCATATTAGATATTTACATTATGATTTATAAGAGTAGTTAAATGACCGTTACGAAGTAGCAACGAAAACAATATTATGGTTGGGGGTCACCACAACATGAGGGACTGTATTAAGGGGTCACGGCATTAGGAAGGTTGAGAACCACTGACTTAGAAGAAACTGTATCAGAGGCAGGGCTTGTGAAAAAAACAGTAACAAGTTTATTGGAATATAACCGGAGTATAACAGATTCAATGTTTCTTCTCTAGAGGCACAAACTTGGTTGGTTACATTGATAAGGTTTCCTGAATTACTTTAGGTATTAAAGTGACTTCAAAAGGTTTCTTTAAGTAGATATCTCCTTCTTTGACAACTGTTCAAAGTATTGGCTCCAAACCAAATCTTGATTCTTAACCAAGAATCAGTCACCCCCTGTAGATCTATCACTACAGGATTCCTGTTGGATTTCCACTTCCACACAGGATCAACTACCTCTGTAATTACACTAATTACATATCAGTTCCTGGATCCTCTCACTGCAAGATCCTCTCCTGTAACTCTTTGATCACAGACTGCCACTTTCAAACAGCTGCGCTGTCAAGTGGCAGTTGGCTCCGCCCCCATTGCTATGGCAACTCAGCTAAAGGCAAGCCAAGCCAGCCACCATCTCTAACAAAATATAATTCTACATACTTACCATTATTAACTATTGTCTAAACAACACACAAGTATAGGAATAAAAATACACATCGTCGCATACACAGCATTCAGTGTTTGCCATGTTTGTTTTGGAAGCCGCCATGAGTCCACTTGTGTGAGAGAGAACAGGTTAGAAATCTATTATTATGTGTTTGAGTGCAGGCCAAGGTCTTGAGGCGCTGCACCCAGTGTGCCCTTGACTGGCTTGTGCCAGAGTCTTTGCAGTTTGATCTTTAAATGCTTGTCTCTTGTCAGTTTTTCCAGTTGTTTCTCTTCAGTCCTGCTGTCACCTGGGATTGCAACATCAACGGTGTATACTTGGTTTTTTAACACGATTGTGAGATCAGGAGTGTTGTGCTCATCATCATCATTGAGTCACAACCAATTCAACATAGTTTGTGCCACAAAAACAAAGTTTCTGGAGTATAACAACTACTTTTAAAGCAATAACCACACAGGAAAAGAGGAAATAACACTTTGAGATCTGGAACAGAAAATATTTCAAATTTTGTTACGTTGTGTAATAATAATACTTCTTAATACCAATGCCTATATTTTTGTGACTAGTATGGCTTCTGGAAGTGGTTTTGTTTGGACTACAACTCCATATATAGTCCTGGGTCCATCTTCCGAAAGCTTGATGAGGTTGTTTTAAGGGGGACTACAGCACCCATCATCCCCAAGAAGTATACCCAGTGGCTGTGGCATGCTTCTGAGAGTTTCCCTTCCAATCTGGGGCATTATATATATATATGGATTCCAGTGCCCCAGGTTATATATATAGAGAGAATTGTAGTCAAAACAAAACAACTTCCAGAAGTCATAATAAGATGTCACTCATAGAATCATAGAATCAAAGAGTTGGAAGAGACCTCCTGGGCCATCCAGTCCAACCCTATTCTGCCAAGAAGCAGGAATATTGCATTCAAATCACCCCTGACAGATGGCCATCCAGCCTCTGTTTAAAAGCTTCCAAAGAAGGAGCCTCCACCACACTCAGGGGCAGAGAGTTCCACTGCTGAACGGCTCTCACAGTCAGGAAGTTCTTCCTCATGTTCAGATGGAATCTCCTCTCTTGTAGTTTGAAGCCATTGTTCTGCGTCCTAGTCTCCAGGGAAGCAGAAAACAAGCTTGCTCCCTCCTCCCTGTGGCTTCCTCTCACATCTTTATACATGGCTATCATATCTCCTCTCAGCCTTCTCTTCTTCAGGCTAAACATGCCCAGCTCCTTAAGCCGCTCCTCATAGGGCTTGTTCTCCAGACCCTTGATCATTTTAGGCGCCCTCCTCTGGACACATTCCAGCTTGTCAATATCTCTCTTGAATTGTGGTGCCCAGAATTGGACACAATATTCCAGGTGTGGTCTAACCAAAGCGGAATAGAGCATGGGGAGCATTACTTCCCTAGATCTAGACACTATGCTCCTATTGATGCAGGCCAAAATCCCATTGGCTTTTTTTTGCCACCACATCACATTGTTGGCTCATGTTTAACTTGTTGTCCATGAGGACTCCAAGATCTTTTTCTCTCGAGCCAGGCATAGTCCCCCATTCTGTATCTTTACATTTCATTTTTTCTGCCAAAGTGGAGTATCTTGCATTTGTCCCTGTCGAACTTCATTTTGTTAGTTTTGGCCAATCTTTCTAATCTGTCAAGATCGTTTTGAATCCTGCTCCTGTCCTCTGGAGTATTGGCTATCTCTCCCAATTTGGTGTCGTCTGCAAACTTGATGATCCTGCCTTCTAACCCTTCATCTAAGTCATTAATAAAGATGTTGAACAGGACCGGGCCCAGGACGGAACCCTGCGGCACTCCGCTCGTCACTTCTTTCCAGGATGAAGAGGAAGCCTTTGGGAGAATCACCCTCTGGGTTCGTCCATTTAACCAATTCCAGATCCACCTCACCATAGTTTTGCCTCGCCCACATTGGACTAGTTTCCTTGCCAGAAGGTCATGGGGGACCTTGTCAAGAAGGCCTTCCTGACATCCAGACACGCTCCATCCACGGCATCATTCCCCGCATCTACCCAGCTTGTAACTCTATCAAAAAAAGAGATCAGATGAGTCTGGCATGACTTGTTTTTGATAAATCCATGTTGACTATTAGCGATGACCGCATTTGTTTCTAAATGTTTGCAGACCACTTCCTTAACTATCTTTTCTGGAATCCTGCCTGGTATCGACGTGAGGCTGACCGGACATTGGTCATTGTTTGGGTCATCCTTTTTTCCCTTCTTGAAGATTGGGACCACATTGGCCCTCCTCCAGTTCCAGATTTCAAAGTGTTATTTCTTCTTTTCCTGTGTGGTTCTTGCTTTAAAAGTAGTTGTTATATTCCAGAAACTTTGTTTTTGTGGCACAAACTATGTTGAATTGGTTGTGACTCAATGATGATATGATGATGATGATGATGATGATGATGATGATGATGATGATAGACTGACAGAGTTTTAGAGCACAAGACTCCCGACCTCCAGATTGTGTTAAAAAACCAAGTATGGATCTGAGAGTTCCCTTCCAATCTGGGACATTGGAACCCATATATATTGCTTTGTTTGGACTACAACACCTATATATAGTAGGTGGAGGAGTCTAAGATTACATTGCTTTTCAGAAGCTTAGTCCTGGGTATATATATATATATATATATATATATATATATATATATATATACTAGTTATTTGTTATATATACAATCCAGATTGCTTACTGTATTATTGCATATGTGTGTGTTGGTGTGCAGTTTTCCTTAACTCTGTGTTGTGGGAGGGCTTGCAAACCATGTGATCAGATCTGGGCTTGCTCAGGACTTAGAGTCCATTTTAGAAACAGTACAGTTTAGAAGCCAGTAGAAATACTAGGCTTTAAAAAGACAGAGACTCTATTAGACTCTCAGACCAGAGAGATGCTTTAGACTTTGGACTGTTAAGATTCTAAGAAAGGTGCCCTGTGTTCAGGGGCGGCTCGTCCATTACGCGAAGTAAGCGGTCGCAGAACACTCTTTTTTTGCCAGGGGTGCAGAGGCGCCTCTGTAAATGCCCCCTGACCCCCCTCAGCTCACAACAGCCCTAGCAGTCCGGGGGGAGCCTCGGCTTTCTTGCCTCGCTGGGCAATCCTCTTCCCAAAGGGGCTGGGCCCTTGAGCCTCGCCTAGCCCCTCTCGTTCCTGCTCCACCCGGCCACCGGGTGCGCGAGCAGAGCCGGCGCTCAATCGTTCTCCGCGTTCGATCCCTTCCCCATGACCGGCTCCCTTTCCCATTCCCCCGGTGCCCCACCCGCCTCCTCTCCTCTCCCCAATCCGCAGGTGGGCCAAGGGGCGGAGCCGCTGCGCCTGGCCCGCTTTGGGTCCGGAGGCGTGTCTGAAGACCCCAGACGTGTGCACCAAAAGTCGCCTCTACTCCTGACTTTCTCTTCAGCCATTGGGAACAAGAGAGAGAGAGAGAGAGCCCCTCCGGCTGGAGGTATCTCCCACCTCCGCTCCCTCCTTTGTTTTTGCGCCTACCTTCAGGAAAGGTGGGCATCTCCACCTCTCTCTCTCTCTCTCTCTCTTCGGTCCCAATGGCTGAGGAGAAAGTCAGGAGAAGAGGTGACTTTTGGTGCACACGCCGGGGTCTTCAGGCACGCCTCCGGACCCAAAGCGGGCCAGGCAAGGGAGCAAGTGCGGCAAGTGTAGTTACTGGGATGTATAGCTCACCTACAATCAAAGAGCATTCTGAACTCCACCAATGATGGAATTGAACCAAATATGGCACACAGAACTCCCATGACAAACAGAAAATATATATCAGTGATTGGTTGGGGGGCGCCAAAATACTGTTTGCTTACCGTTGAAAATTACCTCTGCCTGTGTTATCTGCATAGAGAAACCACTTCAAATCTTATCTGTAACTAGATTGATATGATATGTACAAGTATGCTGAATACATGAAGTTTGTGAGTTAACCAGATATGTAAATATTAACAAAGGCTACTTCATTTTTGGTTTCTTGAGAGCATATTTTAAGGGAGAGTAGAGGCTTTTGGGCCACTGAAATAACACTTCTGACACCCTGCTATATGTTTTTTGTGCATTGGCATATCGTTGTCCCTAACAGTTCAAAGAGATAGGAATATCAGTCTAACAACTGAGAAACCTAATTGCCTTGCATGAATGCTGGTGGATATTTACCACTAAGGCAGTGTTTCTCAACCTGGGGGTCGGGACCCCTAGGGGGGTCGCAAGGGGGTGTCAGAGGGGTCGCCAAAGACCATCAGAAAACAGTATTTTCTATTAGTCATGGGAGTCTTGTGTGAGAAGTTTGGCCCAATTCTGTCATTGGTGGGGTTCAGAATGTGCTTTGATTGTAGGTGAACTATAAATCCCAACAACTACAACTTCCAAATATCAAGGTCTATTTTCCCCAAACTCTACCAGTGTTCACATTTGGGCATATTGAATATTCATGCCAAGTTAGGTCCCGATCCATCATTGTTTGAGTCCACAGTGTTCTCTGGATGTAAGTGAACTACAACTCCAAAACTCAAGGTCACTGCCCACCAAATCCTTCCAGTATTTTTTGATGGTCATGGGAGTTCTGTGTGCCAAGTTTGGCTCAATTCCATCATTGGTGGAGTTCAGAATGCTATTTGATTGTAGGTTAACTCTAAATCCTAGCAACTACAAATCCCAAATGACAAAATCAACCCCTCCAACCCCGCCAGTAGTCAAATTTGGGCGTATTGGGTATATGTGCCAAGTAGGCCTGTCCGGTTTCGTTCGTTAATTCGTTAATTCGTTATTAATTCGTTATTTTAGGCATTTTTGAAGCGATATCAAAACACATTTCCAAACCCGGAAGGGTTTTAAAATATCGAACCAGCAACCCCCATAGATTTAACGAGCTTCCGCTCGTTTCGTTAATGGGGTGGAGGCTGCTGGAGTGCTGGTGCCTGGGAGCCAATCAGGCGCTCCCAAGCAGTGCACTGTGGGTCCGTGGCTGTTTGTTTTTGATTGGCCGGCGAGCCCTTTCAAAGCGGCTCCGCGCGGCCGTAGCTCATTGCTGCAGAGGGCGAGGGAGTTTGCATTGGTTTGGCTTGGCTAATGGCTAGCAACTGGATTGGATTCATTCCTTGCTGCTGTGAGTGCTGCTTGCTTCATTTGCTGTGTCCTGCCTGTGTTTGGTCCACATTTGGGCCATTTTTTGGTTAATTTTCCATTTTAAAATATTTTTTAATATTATTTTAAAATATTTTTAATATTATTTTAATATTATTTTTTAATATTATTTTAATATTATTCTTAAAAAATATTCTAAAAAAGAAAAGACTCTTCTGTTGGTGTGTGCTCTCATTTGCTGTCTCCTGCCTGTGTTTGGTCCACATTTGGGCCATTTTTTGGTTCAGTTTCCATTTTTGAATATTTTTTAATATTATTTTTTAATATTATTTTATTCTTTTCTATTCTTTTATATTATATTATTCTTAAAAAATACAAAAAAGAAAAGACTCTTCTGTTGCTGTGTGCTCTCATTTGCTGTCTCCTGCCTGTGTTTGGTCCACATTTGGGCCATTTTTTGGTTAATTTTCCATTTTAAAATATTTTTTAATATTATTTTAATATTATTCTTAAAAAATACAAAAAATATTCTAAAAAATCGTTAATATTTACAAAATTTCGTAAATACCAAAACTTTTTTTTGGAAAGTTTTGTAAATATTTTAAATATCGAAACAAAAAAACACCCCAATTACAAATCGATTTTAGAAACAAATTTTTTCTTGATCAAACAGGCCTAGTGCCAAATTTAGTCCAGTGAATGAAAATACATCCTGCATCTCAGATGTTTACATTACGATTCATAACAATAGCAAAATTGCAGTTATGAAGTAGCAACGAAAATAATTGGATGGTTGGGGGTCACCACAACATGGGGAACTGTAATAAGGGGTCACGGCATTAGGAAGGTTGAGAAACACTGCACTAAGGAGAAGGCTGACTCAAGCAAGTTTTCAATTCTTCTCAGGAAGATCATACTTTACAAAAGTTTACGATCTCTAACAAGGCCATACCTTTCCAAATAATTCCTGGTTTTCCCAGAAGGTTCTGAATGGCCATTTTCCACAAGGTTATGGAAATTTCCATTTTCCAAAACATGCAACCCCCAGAATCCTTTTGCACCACCATGTTCCCAGAATCCTTTGCCTGCCAAACCAATTTGGAAGCACCTTTTAATCAGCATGCAAAAAATAACTTTTGGGTTTTTCTTTCCAGGAGGAAATGTGTCGGACGTCCTGCGACTTACTAGAACCAGTAACCGTCCTGGACACCAAGGTGAATTTCCCTGCCTGGAAGGCCATGGAGGTAAAGGAGGATTTTGGGTTTTTCGGGTCACTTCCAAACCAAGCCTAAAGGGGGCCCTCTTACACTATGTATTACACAACACTATTTTTGTTCCTGGGTTAGAAATGCCATTTCCTAATTGGATCTATCATAAATAGATGGGAAAAGTTTACTAAACTGCACAAACTTTGACTTGGAGGGAGGTACATCCTCCTGCACCATGTTTGGCTATAGGTTGCTGTGAGTTTTCTGGGTTGTATGGCTATGTTCCAGAAGCATTCTCTTCTGACGTTTCTCCCCCATCTATGGCAGGCATCCTCAGAGGTTGAGAGATCTGTTGGAAACTAGGCAAGTGGGGTTTATATATCTGTGGAATGATGTCCAGGGTGGGAGAAAAAACTCTTGTCTGCTTGAGGCATGTATGAATGTTGCCATTGACCAGCTTGATTAGCATTGAATGGCAGCTGCAAAGTCAATCAGTGAGGGTATCTGCATAGAGGTCTATTGGAAACTAGGCAAGTGGCATTTATATCTTTGTGGAATGACGTCCAGGGAGGGGGAAAGAACTCTTGTCTGTTGGAGGCAAGTGTGAATGTTGCAATTGGCCACCTTGATTAGCATTGAATGGCAGCTGCAAAGTCAATCAGTGAGGGTATCTGCATAGAGGTCTATTGGAAACTAGGCAAGTGGCATTTATATATTTGTGAAATGACGTCCAGGGTGGGAGAAAGAACTCTTGTCTGTTGGAGGCAAGTGTGAAGGTTGCAATTTGACCAACCAGATTAGCATTGAATGGCCTTGCAGTTGCAAAGTCAATCAGTGAGGGTATCTGCACATAGGTCTGTTGGAAACTAGGCAAGTGGTGTTTATATATTTGTGGAATTATGTCCAGGGAGGGAGAAAGAACTCTTGTCTGCTGGAGGCAAGTGCGAATGTTGCAATTTGGCCAGCCTGATTAGCATTGACTGGCCTTGCAGCTGCAAAGTCAATCAGTGAGGGTATCTGCACAGAGGTCTGTTGGTGTTTATATCTGTGGAATGATGTCCCGGGTGGGAGAAAGAACTCTTGTCTGTTGGAGGCAAGTGTGAATGTTGCCATTGGCCAGCTTGAGTAGCATTGAATGGCCTTGCAGCTTCAAAGTCTGGCTGCTTCCTGCCTGGGGGAAAGAATTATTTATCTCACCCTGGACATTATTCCACAGATATATAAACCTCACTTGGCCAGATTCCAACAGACCTCACAACCTCTGGGGATGCCTGCATTAGATGTGGGTGAAACGTCAGGAGAGAATGCTTCTGGAACATGGCCAGACAGCCCGGAAAACTCCCAGCAGTCAATGAATGTCGCATTGTGTCTCAACCAATTCAGCATAGTGGCGGCCACAAAAACAAAGTTTCTGGAGTATCCAAACAAACGACTGCACAATTAAACAGGAAATAATACTTTCCAAACCAGGAACAGGACATTGTTTCAAACGTTGTTACGTACATAATGTGATGGGAGGCAGCCCATCTTGCCTTCCTCTGAGGCTGAGAGAGTGTGACTCCTGGAAGGCCATGCATTGGGTGGGGATTCGAACCTTGGTCCGGTGCCCAAAGCATGGTGTATAATGGTGACCCTTTTGCCCCTTTTGCAGCGGTCAAGACAGGCCTGGGAGGTGTGGCAGGGCCAAGCTTTGCTCTCGGCGGCCATCGTCCAGGTCAAGAGGCAGCCGCCAGACGGCCGGAGGTTCTTGCTCCAGCTGGAGGTCATCGAGAGCTACCTGCGGAGCATCCGGGAGATCCTGCGGGGACACAACGCCCAGGTAAGCGAGACACTTTGCACATGCTCAGAGGCACATTTATTACGATTACTGCCAAACTGATGCCTACCTCTCAGGCAGGCTTGGGCAAACTTGGGCCTTCCCTCCAGGTGTTTTGGACTCCAACTCCCACCATTCCTAACAGCCGGTTGAAGTCCAAAACACCTGGAGGGAAGGCCCAAGTTTGTCCATATCTGCATCTCAAGGTTGTTTTCACAAGGCCTTGGCTGGAGATTGGAGTAGATGACCTCTAGGATCCCTGTGATTCAGAAGCAGATTTACTGGGACCTAGAATGAATTTATATTATTGTACCCAGTTACAGTCTGGATGCATTGTTATATGAGCTGGAGGTTGGACTAGATGACTTCTAGTGCATGGCTGGACTAGATGACCTCTAGGGCCCCTCCTCTGTCATTCAGAAGCAGCTTTTCTGGAACCTAAGATGAACTTATATTATTGTACACAGTTTGGTTGCATTGTTATATGAGCTGGAGGTTGGACTAGATAACCTCTAGGGCATGGCTGCATGGCTGGAGATTGGATTAGACGACCTCTAGGGCCCCTCCTCTGTGATTCAGAAGCAACTTTTCTCTAACCAAGGATGAACTTATGTTATTGTTCATAGTTATAGTCTGGTTGTATTGTCATATGAGCTGGAGGTTGGACTAAATGACCTCTAGGGCCCCTCCGCTGTGATTCAGAGGCAGATTTTCTGGGACCTAGAGTGAATTTATATTATTGTACACAATTACAGTCTGGTTGCATTGTTATATGAGCTGGAGATTGGACTAGATGACCTCTAGGGCCCCTCCTCTGTCATTCAGAAGCAGCTTTTCTGGAACTTAGGGTGAATTTATATTATTGTACACAGTTACAGTCTGGTTGCATTGTTATATGAGCTGGAGGTTGGACTAGATAACCTCTAGGGCATGGCTGCATGGTTGGAGATTGGACTAGATGACCTCTAGGGCCCCTCTTCTGTCAATCAGAAGCAGCTTTTCTGGTCCTAGTGAACTTATATTATTGTACACAGTTACAGTCTGGTTGCATTGTTATATGAGCTGGAGGTTGGACTAGATGATCTCTAGTGCATGGCTGCATGGCTGGAGATTGGACTAGATGACCTCTAGGGCCCTTCCTCTGTGATTCAGAAGCAGCTTTTCTCTAACCTAGGATGAACTTATGTTATTGTACACAGTTATAGTCTGGTTGTATTGTCATATGAGCTGAAGGTTGGACTACATGATCTCTAGGGTCCCTCCTTTGTGATTCAGAGGCAGCTATTCTCAAACCGTGAATTTATATTATTGTACACAGTTACAGTCTTGTTGCATTGTTATATGAGCTGGAGGTTGGACTAGATGACCTCTAGGGTCCCTCCTCTGTCATTCAGAAGCAGCTTTTCTGGAACCTAGGATGAACTTATATTATTGTACACAGTTACAGTCTGGTTGCATTGTTATATGAGCTGAAGGTTGGACTAGATGACCTCTAGGTCCCCTCCTCTGTCAATCAGAAGTGGCTTTTCTGGAACTTAGGGTGAATTTATATTATTGTACACAGTTACAGTCTGGTTGCATTGTTATGTAAACAGGAGGTTGGACTAGATGACGTCTAGGGCCCCTCTGTCATTCAGAAGCAGCTTTTCTGGAACCTAGAGTGAATTTATGTTATAAATAAAGGATTATTATTATTATTATTATTATTATTATTATTATTATTATTATTGTACACAGTTACAGTCTGGTTGCATTGTTATATGAGCTGGGGGTAGGACTAGATGACCTCTTGGGCACCTCCTCTGTCATTCAGAAGCAGCTTTTATGGAACCTCGGGTGAATTTATATCATTGTATACAGTTATAGTCTAGTTGTATTGTTATGTGAGCTGGAGGTTGAACTAGATGACCTCTAGAGTCCCTCCTCTGTGATTCAGACGCAGATTTTCTGGGAACTGGAGTGAATTTATGTTGTACACAATGACAGTCTGGTTGCATTGTTATATGAGATGGAAGTTGGACTAGATGACCTGTAGGACCACTCTTCTGTGATTCAGAAGCAGCTTTTCTGGGACCTAGAGTGAATTTATATTATTGTATAAAGTTACAGTCTGGATGTATTGTCATATGAGCTGGAGTTTGGACTAGATGACCTCTAGCACCCCTTCTCTGGGCTCTTCTAGGGCTCCTCTTCTGTGGTTCAGAAGCAGCTTTTCTGGGAACTAGAGTGAATTGGTATTATTGTACACAATTACAGTCTGGTTGCATTGTTATATGAGATGGAAGTTGGACTAGATGACCTCTAGGACCCCTCCTCTGTGATTCAGAAGCAGCTTTTCTGGGACCTAGAGTGAATTTATATTATTGTACACAGTTACAGTTAGGTTGCATTGTCATATGAGTTGGAGGTTGGACTAGATGACCTCTAGGACCCCTCCTCTGTCATTCAGAAGCAGCTTTTCTGGGACCTAGAGTGAATTTATATTATTGTATACAGCTACAGTCTGGTTGCATCCTAATGTAAGATATTTTGGCCTTTCCTTTCTTTGCAGGTGGCCCCCCAGGACCCAGACGTGACCCCCCGCTTGAGGGTCCAAACAGTGCAAAAGCTCTTCAATGTCTACTCAAGTTTCCTGCGGGGCAAAGTCAACCTCTTTGTGTCCGGCGCCTGCCAGGCCAACGCCACGTGACGGACCCCTGGACGGCGCCCCCCTTTTTGCATTGAGTCCTATGGGGGGAGAACCTGCACACTGGACAACTGACCATATGGTGGACTGCTTCACTGCACACTCAGTCACATGCACACATGAAGGCGGTGGCGCAACAGCCCTTTGGATTCACCCTTCTTGCACTGGCTGCTCCCCCGTTGGCATTCACACGTCGCACGCCATTCCTGCGAGGTGGCACAAGCGGAAAGCCAAGGATATATTACAGCTTTGGGGGATTTTCTTGGAAAGGGTTGGATTTCTCCCCAAGTTTTGGTGGAGTCCCCTTCCTTCTCTGGAGGCTTGGGTGGTGTCTTATTCTATGTCCTAATAAGGTCAGACTAGATGACCCTTAGGGATCCCAAATCTATGAGAGAAATGTCATAACATATGGTGTGTCTGTCATATCTATGGCTGGATGGTCGCATGTCGGGAGGACTTGGGTTGTGTTTTCCTGTATGTCAGAATAAGGTCAGACTAATTGACCCTTGGGAGTCTCATCCAACTATGAGAGATATATCATAGAATATAGTGTGCCTATCTATCATAACTATGTCTGGATGGTCGTCTTTTGGGAGAGCTTGGATTGTGTCTTCCTTTTAAGGCGGAATGAGGTCAGACTAGATGACCCTTGGGGATCCCTTCCAACTCTAGGCTTCTATGAAATATCATAGAATATGGTGGGTCTGTCATATTCAAGGCCTTGAAGGTTGTCTGTTGGGTGAGCTTGAATTGTGTCTTCCTTTATGGCAGACTGAGGTCAGACTAGATGGCCTTTGGGGGTCCCATCCAACTCTAGGCTTCTGTGAGAGAGATATAATAGAATATGGTGTTATGGTCATCTGTTGGGAGAGCTTAGATTGTGCCTTCCTTTTAAGGTAGAATGAGGTCAGACTAGATAGCCCTTGGGGATCCCTTCCAACTCAAGAATTCTAGGGTAGAATACGTTGTGCTTGTCATCTCTATGGCTGGATGGTTGCCTGTTGGGAGGGCTTGGATTGTGTCTTCCTTTATGGCAGATTGAGGTCAAACTAGATGACCCTTGGGGGTCCCATCCAATTATGAGAGATATATCATAGAATGTAGTGTGTCACTGTCCATCTATCATAGCTATGGCCAGATGGCTGTCTGTTGAGAGGACTTGAATTATGTCTTCCTGCCTGGCAAAATGAGGTCAGACTAGATGACCCTTGGGGATCCCTTCCAACTCTAGGCTTCTATGAAATATCATAGGTCTGTCATATTCAAGGCCTTGAAGGTTGTCTGTTGGGTGAGCTTGAATTGTGACTGAGGTCAGACTAGATGGCCCTTGGGGGTCCCATCTAACTCTAGGCTTCTGTGAGAAATATATCATAGAATATGGTGTGCCTGTCATATCTATGACTGGATTGTCATCTGTTGGGAGAGCTTAGATTGTGTATGGCAGACTGAGTTCAGACTAGATGCCCTTTGGGGTCTCTTCCAACTCTAGGATTCTGTGAGAGATATATCATAGATTGTAGTGTGTTTGAATATTCAAACTACAAGAGAGGAGATTCCATCTGAACATGAGGAAGAACTTCCTGACTGTGAGAGCCGTTCAGCAGTGGAACTCTCTGCCCCGGAGTGTGGTGGAGGCTCCTTCTTTGGAAGCTTTTAAGCAGAGGCTGGATGGCCATCTGTCAGGGGTGATTTGAATGCAATATTCCTGCTTCTTGGCAGAATGGGGTTGGACTGGATGGCCCAGGAGGTCTCTTCCAACTCTAGGATTCTATGATTCTATGATTCTATTAATATTGTTTCCATGGCTGGATGGCTGTCTGTTGGGAGGGCTTGGATTGTGTCTTCCTTTTATGGCAGCTTGAGGTCAGACTAGATGGCCCTTGGGGATCCCTTTCAAACCTATGACTGTATTAAGTTTAAAGATGGAAGCATTCAAGATGGAATGGATGGTCTGCAGAGTCCACTTCTCTGGAGGCCTTTGAGCAGAGGCTGGATGGTCATCTGTCAGGAGAGCTTTGAAGGTGACCAGTTATTACCAGTGGCAACCAGTATGTGAGACTGGGGACTGTGGGAGGTCTAATCAAGTTGTCTAGAGGGATTTACTCAAAAAGGACTGCATTGCAGAATGTGTTGGATGGAGAAGACGAGAGGTCAAAGGTAAATGACAAGTGTCAATCATAACTGAAGCAAGGTAATTGACAGGTGTCAATCATCATGTCTGAGAGAAGTGAAACTTCAGCAAGTTTGACGTGTGAAATGGAAGGAGGCTCTTGTTCATGTTTATTATCTCCCTTTTAAGGGATAATAAAGCCTTGAGGGATATGATTGACAGGTGTCAGTCAAGATCAAGGAGAAAGACGGACGTTTCATGAACCCCACAAACGCACCATTTTCACACTTTCAAAATGTTTGAAATGGAAGTGGAAGGCATTTTTTTTAATTAAAAAGTGGAGTGATTGACAGCTGTCAATCACATGGACTTAACAGTTGTTGTATTTTTATTCCTGGGCCAGAAGAATGTCATATCCGCTCCGGGTTTTCATCCGAACTTTTAAAGCATTATTATTGTGTGCCTTCAAGTAACTTCTGACCTAAAGTGACCTTATTATTAGCTTTGTTGAGGCTGAGAGCGTGTGGCTGACGTTCAGACTAAAATCCGGAGCGGATCCTTCAGTTTTGCAACTGGTCCTGAATATGAATGTGTGTGTATATATATGTGTGTAAAGCGTTAAGGGGGTTTTATGAGAGTTTATATTTGATACTAAATTAAAACGTGTACAGTTTTTGTCCTGCATATTTATCTTGCGAACTTCAGAGAGCAGCTGGTTTGTAAATTGGGGGGAAGGAAGATTCCTGGTGGAAGGGGATTGTGTTGATATTGTTGTTGTTGTTGTTGTTTTCCCCTGTTTTGTAGTTCCGGTTTATCTTTATTAAAGGTTCCTGTGGTTCCTGGAAAAGACCGAGATCTGTTTGCATTTCTAAAACAAAGGTTATCCAAACTTCCAAGACTAGAAAGATCCACCTTTCGGATCATAAACCCTTCTCTCCATCCCACCCTTGGCTAGGATTGCACTCTGCACATGCCTAGAGGAACAATTGCCTTATATTATGGGCTTTGCATCTTCTAGAGATAGACCAACTATAAACCCCAGAAAACTACAACTCAAGATTGGAAGTTTTGTGTGCCAAGATCTGTTCAATTCCATTGTCGGTGGAGTTCAGAATGCTCTTTGATTGTTGGTGAACTATAAATCCCAGCAACTACAACTCCCAAAAGTCAAGGCCTGTTTTCCCCAAACTCCACCAGTGTTCACATTTCAGCATACTGAGTACTTGTGCCAAGTTTGGTCCAGATCCATCATTGTCTGAGTCCACACTGCTCTCTAGATCAGTGGTTCTCAACCTGGGGGTCGGGACCCCTGGAGGGGTCACGAGGAAGTGTCAGAGGGGTCACTAAAGGGCATCAAAAAACACAGTATTTTCTGTTGGTTATGGGGGTTCTATGTGGGAAGTTTGGCCCAATTCTGTCGTTGGTGGGGTTCAGAATGCTCTTGGATTGTAGGTGAACTACAAATCCCAGCAACTACAACTCCCAAAATGTCAAGGCCTATTTCCCCCAAACTCCATCAGTGTTCATATTTGGACATATTGAGTATTCGTGCCAAGTTTGGTCCAGATCCATCATAGTTTGAGTCCACAGTGCTCTCTGGATGTGTAGGCGAACTACAACTCCCAAATGCAAGGTCAATGCCCACRAAARCCTTCCAGTATTTTCTGTTGGCCATGGGAGTTCTGTATGCCAAGACTGGCTCAATTCCATCATTGGTAGAGTTCAGAATGCTCTTTGATTGCAGGTGAACTACAAATCCCAGCAACCATAACTCCCAAATAACAAAATTGACCTCCCCCCAACCCCAACAGTATTCAAATTTYGGCGTATRYGGTATTTGTGCCAAATTTTGTCCAGTGAATGAAAATACACCCTGCATATCAGATATTTACATTACGATTGATAGCAGTAGCAAAATGACAGTTATGAAGTAGGAAGGAAAATAATTTTATGTTGGGGGTCATCACAACATGAGGAACTGTAATAAGGGGTCGTGGCATTAGGAAGGTTGAGAACCCCTGCTCTAGATGGAGGTGAACTACAACTCCCAAACTCAAGGTCAGTGTCCACCAAACCCTTCCAGTATTTTCTATTGGTCATGGAGTTCTGTGTGCCAAGTTTGGTTCAGTTCCATCGTTGGTAGAGTTCAGAATGCTCCTTGATTGTAGGTGAACTATAAATCCCAGCAACTACAACTCCCAAATGTCAAGGTGTGTTTTCCCCAAACTCCACACGTGTTCACATTTGGGCATATTGAGTATTCATAGCAAGTTTGGTCCAGATCCATCATTGTTTAAGTCCACAATTCTCTTTGGATATAGGTGAACTACAACTCCAAAACTCAAGGTCAATGCCCACCAAAGCCTTCCAGTATTTTCTCTTGGTCGTGGAAGTTCTGTGTGCCAAGATCTGTTCAATTCCATCGTTGATGGAGTTCAGAATGAGATTTGATTGTAGGAGAACTATAAATCCCAGCAACTACAACTACAACCAAATGTCAAGGCCTATTTTCCCCAAACTCCACCAGTGTTCACATTTGGGCATATTGAGCATTCATGCCAAGTTTGGTCCAGATCCATCATTGTTTGGGTCTCTTTGGATATAGGTGAACTACAACTCCAAAACTCAAGGTCAATGCCCATCAAAGCCTTCTAGTGTTTTCTGTTGGTTATGGGTGTTCTGTGTGCCAAGATTGGTTTAATTCCATCATTAGTGGAGTCCAGAATGCTCTTTGATTGTACGTGAACTATAAATCCCAGCAACTACAACTCCCAAAAGTCAAGGTGTGTTTCCCCATTTGAGAATTCTGAGAACTACAACTCCAAAACTCAAGATCAATGCCCACCAAACCCTTCCAGTATTTTCTCTTGGTCATGGAAGTTCTGTGTGCCAAGATCTGTTCAATTCCATCGTTGGTGGAGTTCAGAACGCTCCTTGATTGTAGGTGAACTATAAATCCCAAAAGTCAAGGTGTGTTCCCCCCAAACTCCACATGCGTTCACATTTGGGCACATTGAGTATCCGTGCCAAGTTTGGTCCGGATTTATCATTGTTTGAGTCCATAATTCTCTTTGGATATAGGTGAACTACAACTTCCAAATTCAAGGTCAATGCCCACCAACCCTTCTAGTGTTTTCTGTTGGTCATGGGTGTTCTGTGTGCCAAGTTTGGTTCAATTCCATCGTTGGTGGAGCTCAGAATGCACTTTGATTGTATGTGAACTATAAATCCCAGCAACTACAACTCCCAAAAGTCAAGGTGTGTTTTCCCCATTTGAGAATTCTGAGAATTCGTGCCAAGTTTGGTCCAGATTTATGATTGTTTGAGTCTACAATTCTCTTTGGTTATAGGTGAATTACAACTCCCAAACTCAAGGTCAATGCCCACCAAAGCCTTCCAGTATTTTCTCTTGGTCATGGAAGTTCTGTGTGCCAAGATCTGTTCAATTCCATCGTTGGTGGAGTTCAGAATGAGATTTGATTGTAGGAGAACTATAAATCTCAGCAACTACAACTCCCAAAAGTCAAGGTGTGTTTTCCCCAAACTTCACACGCGTTCACATTTGAGAATTCTGAGAATTCGTGCCAAGTTTGGTTCAGATTTATGATTGTTTGAGTCCATAGTTCTCTTTGGATATAGGCGAACTACAACTCCCAAACTCAAGATCAATGCCCACCAAAGCCTTCCAGTATTTTCTCTTGGTCGTGGAAGTTCTGTGTGCCAAGTTTGGTTCAATTCCATCGCTGGTGGAATTCAGAATGAGCTTTGATTGTAAGTGAACTATAAATCCCAGCAACTACAACTCCCAAGTGAAAAAAATCAAATTTTTCGAGTGGTGGCCATTCCTTGGGTTAGTAGGTGTCTACTACAACTCCCTGGGTCCCATGCTGCTAAACTGCACTAAATCTACAGTGCGGATGCACCCTAAACCAAACTCTTTGGGGACTTGGCCAAAGAGTCAAAAGGGCAGCAAGGTCCCGGAAGGTCAGAGAAG